TGGAAAGTCTTTTATGCTCTATGCACTTTGGAATGCTGAGCCTTGAACTTCATTGTTTAAAGTATTTTTTTCTAAAGTCACTTTAGATTATTTTTGAAAACTTATTGCAGAATTTGGAAGCCACATTAAACAACAGCAAAGGCAGCACTATCCTTTTTGTTTGTTTGTTTGTTTTACAGTAGCTAAGATGTCTAAGAGACTTTCTGTGGAAATGATTTGTTCAAGTTCGCTTCACCCCACCTTAAAAAGAGGTGATACTCAAAGGAAGCTGCTCCTCCCAAGTTTATTCTCACTCATTTGAGTTATCTTCTGTTATGATGGTACATATGGGTTAGAGTTGCTATCATTTTCTTTTTGCTAAGTACTTAAAAAAACAGCCTGGCCTGGCGATAGGTTTGCCTGGTTAACTACTTAGATACCAAAAGCATCGACTTTGATAATGACACTATGAGGGTTAGGATTTTTGCTCAGCTCGGGTGTTGGTGTAAAAGGAGAATATCAAAAACCTTGCTTTCTGAACAGAATTCTAAGGATTTAAATACTCTTTTCCAAATTTAGTGATGTGCTTTTACAGAACATACACCTGCCAACTTGGGGGACATACCTCTAAAATTAAGCCTGAGGTCATACCAGTTTGCAGGGGAAAAAAGGACCAAATCAAGTATTCTGGAGCTTCCTTGCTCAGCCTTGTAGAGTTTGTATTTACTCTTTAGCTGTAAACTTATGGTTTATTAAAAATCATTATTTAGCCAAGCAGAGCAACAAATCATGCAATGATTCAATGAGGGCAGCCAGCATTTCTTACAATGCTGTAATTAGATAACCGATTTGTAATTGAGTAACAATGAAAGCTGGCCTTTCTCCTCAAGAGGAAGTAATGCTGCCCATGTGAAGAACAGGAGATTTACGAGTCACGTGACCCTAAATAAAATTTTAAAAAGATGGAACCATGCTCCTTCTTGGGAACGCTCATCTTTTCTCCTTGTCAGCACAGCTTTAACAAAATATCCGGCGTCTTGCAACACAGGAATTTCAATTGTGAATCCATCTGAGATTCCACTGTGACATGCTGCTATGCAGAGCAGACACTGGGTGCAATCCATCATCTATTAAAATTCTGTCAGTGTGAGAGTATAGTACAGAACCCTGCTCGGAGAAGCAGGGACAAATAGCTGATGGCGTTGACAAAGTCAGCATTTTTACTTCCTCGCAGCAAAAAGCAAATTCCTAATTTCCTCCAACAGCGCTCTCTCTTCAGTGTCTGCTCAGGTGAATTTCAACAAAGTGCAAACACAAACACTCTTGCTGCCCTAAGTGGGGTCTGACAACTTTCCAAGGGACCTGGTCAGAGGCTGGTCACTGACAGAGAACTGGTTTTCTTGCACCAACACCAGTGTGATGGTTGTAATGCAGCCAAGGAGACCTAGCCCCCCTTTCACAAACGCAAAAAAGCCTCTCAGCATCTTATGTCTAAAAGTAGGGAAAAGTACATTTCATGCAACTTAGAAAATTCAGTCTCCAAAGAAGGAAACTTAAATGGCAAGCTTCAGTTCTATGCTCCGCTTTCTATTCTTCTCTCATCCCTGGACTACCGACCCCTCTCCTTTTTTTGCATCAGTTTATTTCTCTCTTACAGATGTTGCTACTCCTTTTTGGCCCTGACAAAGACAGGCACCGTGCTCTGCTTTCAAACTGTCCGCAAGCACCCAGAAACCTGGTTAAGATCTCAGAGTCCTTCGAGTCAAGACTAAACAAGAACCTGCCAGGCTTCGGGCTCCAATGAGGAAGTCGCATTCCTAGTGATGGCGGAGAAATATGCCTGTAACACTTAGTGCTTATAGATGAGATTTTCTCAAAATGGTGGAAGAGAAAATGCAAGAGAAGAGAAAAGCTGGAAGCGAATCTGAATTAGAGCAACATATTTGAGAGCTGTTGATACTGATACCTTGAATTTATTGGTCGTTGCCAAGAGGTACTCAATGGGCCTATTTTTTAAAAAAAAAATTGTCACCTGAGGATATGTATTTTCCATCGATCTTTAGGAAGAGAGAGTGGAAGGGAGGGGAGGAGAGAGAAACATAGATGCAGGAGAGACACATTGATTGGTTGCCTTCTGCACACACCCAACTGGGCTGGGGATCAAACCTGCAACCGAGGTATGTGCTCTTGACTGGGAATTGAACCCGAGACCTTTGGACCAAGGGCTGATGCTCTAACCACTGAGCAATTGTCCAGGGCTCAATGGGCCTTTTTATTTATTTATTTTATTTTTTATTGATTTCAGAGAGAAAGGGAGAGGGAGAGAGAGATAGAAACAACAATGACGAGATAGAATCATTGATCAGCTGTCTCCTGCACACCCCTACTGGGGATCAAGCCTGTAATCAGGGCATGTGCCCTTGACCAGAATCAAACCTGGGACTCTTCAGTTCATAGGCCGATGCTCTATCCACTGAGCCAAACCAGCTAGGGCCATGGGCCTTTTTTTTTAAAGTGTCAGGTGTTGAATGGTTCAGTAAGTTAATGAAGTCCCAATCTAAGCGATTTGTCTTCTGTATAACCACAGAGGTGTCTCCCCCAAATTCATTAGTAAAGTAAATTGAATACCTAGTATGAATGTGGTAGAAATAGGTGATCATTGTGTATTCTTAATTTTTTTCTATACTAATACTCATTTTCTTTAATTGGGCTAATCTAAGGCATAATGTGCAGTCTATTCATATAAATAAATAGATTTTTAGATTCAGGTATTTTGTTTCATTGCCTTAGGTTGCTTAAGCACTTTTGTACTTTGGTATCATAGAGTGATTAACGTAACACTCACTTTGATGATGAAGCTAAGGCCAGTTGGGCGATTTATACAATTTAGACAACCAGTAAGACTGTTGCTGGGCAAATATTGTGGTATAAACTCTGTGTTTCCATGACACTGTTCAGCCCATTTTTCCATGTTAAAGACAACAAAGTGGTGGGTGGCCCAGCCACTCCTTTTTCTAGGAATTTGCCCCAGCCACAGACACTACATTTTAAACCAAGTGACCTCAGCGCAAACATGATGCACAGTCTGGTCATGGGGAGCGATAAGATATCACTGAGCCATAGCAAGAAAGATCCAAGGGGGCGAATGAACGAAAACACACACACACACACACACCCCGATTGGTAGAGTAAGATGTATAAGAAATAATGCATTCAGAAATGGGGTTGAAGCTGTGCTGGGTGAGGAGGTGATAATGAAAACTTTCTAAGGTCCTGAGTGATAGCTGAAATAGACACATACAAACATCTTCTCTTCTACTCCCTGCTCTAGAAATACTGTAAAGTCTCACATACTTTGACATCTGGCAAAATATTCAGATTTTCTTGCCAGATGTGCATTCCTTTTGGCCACAATGAGACGATACTTAACCTCAGTGTGAGGACTAAGCTAGCATTAGTGCTCTATAGATGAACACACTATTTTTTTTTTGAAGGTGGTTGTTTCCTTCTCAAAAGTCTACTCTTTAGAACTTGGCAGGACATCTTCTCTTTTCCTGTGTTGGCTCAGACTGTGCTATACATTGGTTTGGCAGCATATATTGAATTCTGCCTCATGACTTGGACAGAAAAGTGTGTCTTGGATTCATTGTATGTTGGTATGATTTATAGAACTTAGGCCAGATGAACTCAGGAAGCCCTCAAGGTGTGGAAATAAGAGCAAAGAGAAGGATTTTCAAAATATGGTCTAAAGTTCTGCTGTAGTAGGCTACATATATTTTATTCTTTAAATAAAAAACAAACTATCAAAACATTAGGAGCAACATGAAATGTTCCTTATTTGTAAAAAGTGGAGGAAGTTCAAGTATGAAAACCAGGTGCTGTGATCCTTTGAGTCCAGGAAATGGATGCCTGTGCATCTAGTTTCCTGGTCATTGATATGTGCTACCTTACTCATACTTAGCTTTTAAAAGACTAAAAATATAGCACTGCTTCTTCTTTGCACAATATATAGATCTAATAATAATAAGGATAATGGTAATAATAATGTATAGCATGTCATACTTAAAAAGTTATTTTTACATATGCTCTTGATTCTCCCCCACCCCCTGCCAAGTACAGTGACAGGTAAGGAAACAAAGGCACACATGTGAGCATACCCAGAAGGGCCCACCAGAGACCGTGTCACACACCTCTCAGTCTCGGGCCCCTCCCCTACCTCACACTCTCATGAGTGTATTGCTATCGAAATCTGTCTTGTACTTCTGCAGAGCTAGAAAACCTGGAAGAACTAGACAAAGACAAATGAAATCATTAGCCTTCAGTCTAGGTTCTAATGGAATATGTAATATTTTTCACTTGGGACTGATGTAATATTGTTCCACAAAATGGAAAATCTAGCAAGTAGAAAATAGAGTTTGAATATTTTTGGAAGATTCTTTCCACAAAAGAAGAAGAGAAGGCCTCCAGTTAGTTAACATAAAAATTACCTGGCAACATTGCTATCTATCTATATGTTTCCATCTATTAATAGACAACTAACTTCCTATTTTAAATATATTGCTTTGAGATAACACTTGGCCGTGATCCTGAAACTCACTCCCAAAGCACACCAAACTGCATTTGAAGAAAACAAAGCATAACAGAAGGAGAAGGAGAAGGAAAACAGGCTTTTCTCCAATAATGGATTTACTTGTTTAGAGCTCAGAGTTCCTGCATGAAGTAGAAATTCCCTATTCATAACAAATAGTAGACATCAATTTTTGAGATTGACTGTTATGACTGATACTTCCTCCAAGCAAGTTTCTCTATCTCTATCTCTATCTCTCTATCTCTATCTCATCTATCTCTATCTATTGTACATGCTTTTGTAGAATTTCAGGAACAGCTTTTATCTGGAAAATATGGCTGCCTGAAAGAGGTATAAAATATAACAAAAGCTTTACCCCAAAGCTTCTATGCATTACAAAAGCTTGCACTTGGATAATAGAAATATTTAGCCTCAGGTGACTGAGAACACTTACTGTTGGTTGCATAACGTATGGCGGATGAGGCATCCATGAAGTACTCTGGACCTATGCATCAAACAGCATTTATTAGCACAAAGCAATCACAGAGAGAACTTGGTTCTTGCGTTCAGTGGAGTCACACTAGATCATAAAAAAGTGGAGTCCATCTGATTTTACAGCTAATTAGTGCTCAAAACTAAGGATGGAAAGCACATTCTTGGGCCTGATTCATTTGGTCCCTGAAACATGATAAAATGTAAAGCAAATTCCTGCTTCACTGGAGCTGGCTGCAGTGCCCACATGGACCAGGCTAGGACCTGGAGCATATTTTGAGGATGGTGTTAGAGACTAAAGTATCAGGTAGCCTCAGGGACCTCCTATATAAAGGTCAACTCCCAGGGATACCCAGGCAAATACTAAGGAAGCAAGTGTTTATGCTAAGACTTCCTTTTTTTCTGTCATTTGTTTGAACTTCAAATTCTCAAGTGATTCTCATCTTGGAAATAAGTCCAAGCGGTAAAAGTTGGGGTAAGAGTTAAATAGATCAACCAAAAATTGGGGAAAATGCTCTGGGATCTACCCAAGTTAAGCGAGTTTGTAATATTTTTTCTTTCATAATAACTGGTATGTAAATAAAAATGAGTATTTGAGCCAACTGTTCTGAAATGGGCCTTGTCAGCCAAATGCGAACGTCAACTTGAAGAGCTGTTTGTCACACAAAGAACCTTAAAGATTTCGTTTTCAGTATACTCACACAAGCAAAATTGCCAATGCCATTTAGATTAAAAAAAACAAAAAAAAAAAAAAAAGGAAGAAGTGTTGAAAGGCAAGAATCAACAACATAGGAAATTGCTCTAATTCCTTTTATGAGAAAAGAGAGCTGGGGTTAAATTCCACTTAGGAGCCCTCCCAAGTAAAGTCACTTTTCTGTGGATGTTTTATTCATGTCACCAAAGTGCTCCACACTGGGGCTCAATGGGTGGTCTTGGCTAAAACAGAGGCCAAGATTAGGGGGGGAAAAAAGCTTAAAAAAAAAAGCCCCAAATACACATTACAACCAGGCAGGCCTGCGTGAGGAACAGCACCTGCACGGAGCCTTGGGGGTCCCAGGGAAAGGCCATTAGGAAGTCAGCCATTCAGAGACCTTCAGATGCAATTCACACGCAAGTCTATTCTGTTCGCCCACCAACATGTATGAAGAATCTAAGTGCAGGAAATGAATGAACATGGACTGCGTCAGGGGGGATCCGCTAAGGAAATATGTGCATAGTCTCAAGTCTGATGCTCTGACAACTGGGGCATCCCGAGATGAAGTATGTAGTGGCTGAATAAGGTGACGCTTAACTGAATTAGTAGCAGTCAGCAGCATCGGAGTTACCATTGTAAAACCCCCACCCCCACCATCTGCACAAGACAGAGAAACACATGGCGTGCATGCTCTTGCACTCTCTCTCTCTCTCTCTCGCTCTTTTCTCTTTCTCCAGAGTTTTAAAAAATGACACTAGCGGCTCTATGTTACATGGATAGCGATTTCTTTTTAGAATTAAGAACTGTCTAAGGAACAATACGAGGGAAAGAGAAGCAGGGAGTGATATCACATAGTTGATAAGTCAAAAGAAATAAGACAAGAAGTCGTTTTTTAAGGGAGAAGTGTGACTATTGCAATCCACCTGTGTACATAGAGTTAACTGGCTACAACATCTGGTTTAGGACACACACCGATTCTCGGATTTTCTTGTGTTTCAACATGTGGAACCCCTGAGGTCTCCTTGGGCTCTTTAGGAACTGAGAACGAAGTCAGAACAGACAGGAGGAATCACTCTTTACCACTTTGATAATCTTATTTCCTGGGGAAACTGATTGAACATCAGTCCATGTAGTTTTACATGGATACACAGGACAACTGTGACAAAATGAGATGACAATGGTAAAACATGCCAGAGTGAGGGCAGGGAATGCGAGAAATGTGCTTTTAGAAAAGACACACTAGGAAGCGTGACAACCGAAATAACAGACAGCAAACAAAATCATTTCTCAGTGGTAATAAAGACAGCGGTACTAGCGTTGTCTGGGAAGTAGCATAATGATGAAAAACTCAGCAGGTGTTCTCTCAGAAGAATGAAAAGCATGGTGGATTTTACTACTCAGTGAAATAGATGCGAACAGGCCCTTGAAAGTGTAGACTAATTGGTGACTTGAGTATTACCACATCAGGACGTGAGTCAAGTGTGCGAGGGCAATTTTTAAAAGTTCTACTGTGTCTTGGCCTCTATGGCGATTATCACTGGCAAGAGAGATCTCTCCTGAGGGGTGGGGAATCGGACATACCTGGTATGTGGAGACAGGGGAAGCAGCAATGAATGGCGTGATAGATGTCTGTGGAATCATGCGGTTGGTTGCAATACTGTACGGTGAAGAATAAAATCTGCAAACAGAAAACAACAACAAAAGAAGAAGGTTCATACAGCTGCCGCATGCCTGGCCACTCAGCAAATGCTACCAAGCACTTCTGGGGAAGACAGAGTTCCACCCTCACGTTCGCCCACCAACTCTGAACAGGAGCATCCAGGAGGTTTGTTGGATTGGATTCCACTAAGAGAAATAAGTCGTTCTGAACAGACATGACAACGTGGAGTCATCTCATCAAATTGTCCACACAAAATCTCTTATGCTGGGTGAGTGAGTGTAACTGTGTTTTCACCAACAGGGGGAGAAAAGCAACAGGCACTGTTTTGTTTTGGAAAGGCGATGCCATTTTAAAGCTCTTTGGAAAGAAAGGCAAAATGATAGTACCAAGCTTTCTAAAGGAGGCCGGTGTTACGTAAACACAAATTGCATCTATATCTTTTCATTGAAGAAACAGAATCAGCTCCAAGAGTTCTGGCTAACTTGTGTGAGGTATGCGACTATACCCTCATGCAAGATCTAAGCTAAATACTTTCTCTGTGAAAAGGGAAGTGGACAATTGGTGTCTAGGTAGAGATGCAGTCATGGTGTTGGTGGAGATTCTGGATGTATGTGATATACTCCTGTAGACTCTGTAAAAAGCATTGAGTTTTCTAGTCCTTCATGCCCCTTCATTGAACAATTGTAGAACAATACTGAGCAGATCAGGACTTCACAAATCAGAGGAAGCTTAGGGATCTACTGAAGAATAGATTCTAGATACTGAGATCAGTGACATACCCATCTTCGCTCTGTGATTGCCCTGGAGTCCACAAGGTACCCAAAGCTCAAATTCCTCAGCCAGATTTAAAATCATGTTTCCTCCTTCATGTCTCCCTGGTAAGTAAAATGCTGGAGTGGCCAGACTAAGGACAGATGAAACCATGATGGAGTTGCCTATGATGTAGTATTTCACTGATGGGAAGATATATTGGGAAAATGTGTATCAGGGAGAATGAAATCATTATTTTACTTTGCCATACTGTTAGTAAAAGTCAACTACTTTTAATTTTAAAAAAAAGTATGACTGAGGTTGGACTTTTAGGTACAAAAGCTTCATCACACCCCAGGAGTCCCCAATATTTTAAAAGAGAAAATCTCATGGGTTACCTTTCTAAGGATGCATACCACAAGACCTCACATTGAATATAGGAAGGCTAGACTTCAAGGTTGCCATTTAAGGAGTAAATTCTTTAGCTGATATTCTATAAGAGTCTCCAAGCAAGTATTGTGGAACTATAGTGTCAAATTTATTTTACTAGCTCTCAAGAAGGATTATAACATCATATTATTTTGGTTAAGATATAGCTAAAAATTATTCCTTACACATTTAATCCTTTCTATTCATACCCACCAGACCTCTGAATTTATAGTTGTGCAGTTTGAAAAAAATCTATTGACTACATACCTATTAGAATGGGCTATTTATAAGAAAATGACAATACTAGTGCTAGCAGGAAATGAGAGAAAGTACAACTCTCGTTCATTGCTGGTGGAAATGCAGAATGGTACAGCCATTGTGAAAAACAGGTTGGAAGTTTCTTATAAAGTTAAACATGCACATCACATATAACCCAACAACCCCACTGGTAGATATTAACTAAAGATAAATGAAAACATATGTCTGCACAAAATCCTTAATGCAAATGTTTATAGCAGGTTTATTGATACTCCCCAAAGGCTGGAAACAAGCCAAATACCCTTTAACTGAGTCAATAAGCAAACTGGTACATCTGTATGTTGGACAGCTATTCAGCAATAAAAAGGAAAGAACTACTGATTCATTTAATATGATGAATCTTGAGTGGATTATGCTAAAGAAGTCAGACTCAAAAGGCTCTATATTTTATAGTTCCATTTTTATCACAATATAGAAAATGCATAACTATAAAGGCAGAAAAGAGATCAGTGGATGCCAAAGGCTGGGGTTGGGGGAAAGGGTTGACTACAATAACACAGGAAGGATTTTGGGGAAATGATGTAATTCTTCTATATCTTGATTGTTTGGTGCTTGAATGACTATGTGTTTGCCAGAACTCATAGAATTGTACACTATAAAGAATGAATACATATTCTATGTAAATTATACCTAATAAATGTGATGTTTAAAAGAAGTCAGTTACTATGTAAGAAAATATCCATACTTCCATGTTTAAAAAAATTTATTGAGCATATACTATGTGTACCAAAGATGGGGAAGACTCTAAAACATTCCTTAGATTTTCTCTATTTAGCCATTTAAATCAAATCTTATCTGTATATGAATTCTAAAACTCTCCAATAGCTTTCCATTGCAATGAGAATAAAAGTTGAATTCCTAGTACTGGCTAGCAAAATGAATCTACTGCCCTCTCTAATATTTTCTCTCACTCCTCTCCCCCTAGCCAATTAGATCCAACTGTACAAACCTTCTTTTGTCCCATGGTCCTGTCATTCTCACTCCCATCTTGGATCACTGACCTTATTATAATTCCCTCCAACTAGAATGTTCACATCCCTAAATCTCTCCAAGGTTACCTCTTACTCATTACTAATATCACTCAACTTTCACTTCTTCACAGAGGCCTGTGGCTAAAGTCTTAGCCACCATCTCTGTCCCCATTGTTCTCTACTTCTTTCCTCTAACTCAGAGGTTCTCAACCTGTGGGTCGCGACCCCTTTGGGGATTGAATGACCCTTTCACAGGGGTCGCCTAAGACCATCGGAAAACACATATATAATTACATATTGTTTTTGTAATTAATCACTATGCTTTAATTATGTTCAATTTGTAACAATAAAAATACATCCTGCATATCAGATATTTATATTATGATTCATAACAGTAGCAAAATTACAGTTATGAAGTAGCAACAAAAATAATTTTATGGTTGGGGTCACAACATGAGGAACTATATTAAAGGGTCGCGGCATTAGGAAGGTTGAGAACCACTGCTCTAACTGATTTTTTTCATTGCTCTTATCACTATTTGAACTAGTAATTAGAAACCAATTAGATGTAGCTTATGGGTTGAATGTGTGTGTCCCTCCAAAATTCATATTGACATCCTAACTCCCAGTGTGGTTATATTTGGAGATGGAGCCTCTAAAGAAGCAATTAAGGTTAAATGAGCTCAAGAGAGTGGGGCCATGATCTGGAAGGATTAGTGTCCTTATAAGAAAAGACACTGAGTTCTCCCTCTCTCTCGATCTCTCTCCTTTCTCTCCTCTCTCTCTCTCGCCTCTCTCTCTCCCCTCTCTCTCTCTTCTCTCTTTTCTTTCTCTCTCCCTCTCTCCCTCTCCCTCTCCCTCTCCCTCTCCCTCTCCCTCTCCCTCTCCCTCTCCCTCTCCCTCTCCCTCTCCCTCTCCCTCTCCCTCTCCCTCTCCCTCTCTCTCTCTCTCTCTCTCTCCCCACACACACACACACCTATACATGGAGGAAATGCCATGTGAAGGCACAGTGAGAAGGCAGCCATCTACAAGCCAATCTACCAGACCTTGATCTTAGACTTCTAGCCTCCAGAACTGTGAGAAAATAAATTTCTGTTGTTTAGAGCCATCCAATCAGTGGTATTTTGCTACAGAAGCCGAGCTGATTAATACAATGCATGCATTGACTATTTTCCCCTCTAGTCTGACAGCTTTAAGAACGTTGAGGACACACTGACTTTGTTGTCTAGAACAGGGACTGAGACATAGTAGATACATAACTATAGGTTAAATGAACCAACGGACACAGGGTAGCTTGGGAAATAAGTAATGATTGCAGGACAGGATGGCCAGTGCCAAGATGGTGGGAGAATAGAAGATGGGCCCCTAAACCTGTAGGAAACAGGGGGAGAACCCAGAGAAGATAGGCCAGCATCACATATTTATAAATGCTTCCTGGAAACTTAACTAATACATGCTTTCTAAGCATGCATAGGTCTTAGTAACTAGGGAAAACAGTCCTTTTTCCACAAAAATCATGGTTTGCATTTAAAAATCTTCTTTAGCTCTTACCTTTGAAAATTCTTACGTATGAGGCATTGAACAGAAAGATGTATTTCGGGCTCATAATGACATGAGAGGCACTAATGACCACTCCACACACAGTCCTTCCCATTCCCCACGCGCTGATTAACTTCCATTAAAAACCCAGTTTCAGCCTCTTACACCAACGGAGCGCACTGCACATTGCATTTTAGTGTGGCTGGTTTATTTTGTAAAATGTACCAAATGGAGTATTAAAAAGGAAAGCAATAAGGATTGGATTGATAGGCAGAGTTTACAGAAAATTCTACGGGGAAAACAGAGGGCAGACACATAAAGAAACTAGCCAAGGAAACTGATACTAACAAAGGGAACCCTTGGGGGTAAATTGAATGCATTTTTATTCTATCTGCTCTAATCCTAGCCATCCAACAAGAATGGTATTGCATGCTTCCTAACAAGTTCCAGTACTGCTGCTAAAGTCAGAGAGTATATCTTCCCCAAAAATATCCTGGGAAGAACGGACCAGCACGCTGTCTTGATCCCCTAATTCTGGTATTCTGCTAGAAGCTCTGCCCAAGTCCAAACATAAACCAGATGAATTTAAAGGAAACCCTTGCTTACACCCTGACAAGAGAGGCTGTGACTGCATCTAAGGCTTAGAGATACAGTAGCTAAAAGAAAATATATATGACCAGGCTCCAAAAAGAAAACTGCAGAATAAGTTTCTCAACCTCCTCACTCTTCTTTCTCAGTCCCTGCCATTTATCTGTCATGATTTAAAATGACTTTCATATAACCAACACATTAAAAAACACACACACACAAATCAAACTTCAAGCATAGCTAGGTTCTGTTCCTGGGGAACAGGAAAGAGAAACTCAGCAGAACCTGTTAGCCATAATAACAAAACAGAGATAATTCTAGCCATGTGACTTTACGCTATTTGTATTTGCTACATATGCATTCTGCTTTGCAAAGGCTAGTAGAGAATACTGGGAATGAATTCTCTGACAAACTATTTTCCTG